GTTATGATAACTATTTACTCATGTATATGTATGTGTATATGTGAACTTAAAAAAATATTTTTGTGAAAGTATTTTTTATGTCATTTCTATAAATACAGTTGATAAACCCGCAAGGCATTTTTGATTACTAGTAAAATCGTGACTGAGGTGAACTCAATCGAATCGATATGTACATTTGATTTGCCACCATAAATAGTTAATCAATGTTTAGTATGCTACATGAGTAAATATCAGATGTTACATAATTTTTTGGGAGCTTGTTACACAAATAGTCAGCTTATGAACCAGTGGAGGAATTTATTAAGTCATTTGTATGCTCTTGAAATACAAAATTAAGAGAAAGAATTTTTATTTTCTTTATCTTTAAAGTACAAGAAAATAAATTTAAAAAAAGAAATGAAATTTTTCTTTACCTCCCTCTTAATTTTTTTTAATCAAAAATAATTACGTTTATTAATTGTTTGGATAAATGACTTTATCGTTAATTCGATGCATGATAAAAATAAACATAAATTTTGAAAAACTATAAAAAAGTTTTTATAGTATCTCGAAATTAATTTTGTACATCATAAAATTAATTAAAATTGAAAAATTTTATTTAATTGTCGTTCTAATTAATTAGTTCCAGCAAAATGTGTCATAACTATAAACATTAAAATTATCGATCAATTTCAATGACAATGATTATCAAATAAATGTTATTATATTTTTAACACGACTGTGGCGTATAATTTATTGTCATAACTGTACGTTCAACCAATTCCAGGAGCAATAGATACAGAACTTAGTATAAAGAGATACATAGATCCATGACATGATACAACATGTAATAGTGAATGTATATAATAAACAAACCTATTCTTTATGTTATATGATGCATTGTTAGCCGAACAAAAGGTTTTCTATTATTAATATTTGTTCCTTAGTTGAGATGTAATAGACTTGAAATGTTACGATCATATTGCACTTAGCTACTTTGCAACCTTGATACTCACAATCTCATTCAGTGATGCTTGTTGATTTTATTCAAATAGATCATTAACATTGGCTTTTTCCAACAAGTTTCATCAATTATTCAATCAACTACCCTTAACTTAATAACGCATTTCAACTAAAAAATAATTTTTTCAACAGTTCTAAACAATTTTTAATATTTCTTTTATCAACTAATTAAATTATAATTAAGTTCAAAATAATTTGATAAAGTTTTCCCAATAAAATAAATGAAACTTTGAAAATTTTTCCCAAAAATGTTTCCTGAGTGTATGAAATTTCATTTTCTCACTTAATAAGTTATTATAACTAGTGTTTCGTTGTCATACCATTTTCTCATGTTCAAGTTCTTTCGTCAAACTTAAATTATGTTGATATTGTATACAGTCTATCAAACTATATGGTTGTCTACAATGTTCTGATAAATGGAATTCTATTTCTGAGCCTTCAAGAGCATACCATTCAGTTCTATGGAACATGTAGGTAGCTAGGCGATTAAAGTCGACATAATTTCATCTCATACATTCTGTATATATTCGTACGATCCTCATTGGATCAACAAGAAACTCATGTTTGAAGGACGCACTCTCACTTATACTGGTTTTACGAATTTAGAAAATATGTCAATGAGCAAAATCGCACCTGGAACACAACATACACCTGCAGTTGTGATTATTCAATTAAGCCGACACTAACTAACCAACATGAGGAGTATAAATGAAATTAACTCATACTAGAAATGTCTTAATTTCTCAGTATTCATGATCCTATTCATCGTAATCTTGTAAATAAATACAGGAGTAAAAACCACTATGAAATAAATGTAACATTGATTTAGAGAAAAAGAAGTAATTAAAACATTATTATTGACAGAAAAATAAACAATTAATAAGTTATTTATGGAATAACTAGAATACTTTGAAGTGATAAACAAAATAATTAAACAATTAACCTTATTATTTTAATTGATCATTAATAATACTTGTAATTATCTAATAGAGTAAAGAAAAATATCTTATGATCTATTAGTATTTAAATCATTGAATTATAAAGTTCATTGGATAATTTTATGCAAGTAATTTGTTTATTAATATTATAACATTTAACAAAAAAAAAAAACACAAATATTCTTGGCATTTACTCAACATGATTTGTTGTTTACTTAAATATTCCATTTAATATAATAATTTTTAACTTAAAAAATTATACAATGGCTCCAAAATGATCAAAATAAAATACAACTAATTTTAAAATTTACCTTCTCGTCGAAAGATTCGACGGAAGCACGTCGAACTCCATTCATCTCCGTTGGTTAAAATCACCGGCTCCTAATGTCTCGTGGAAGACCAAAAATGACCTTCAATAATGTTTCAATTCAATAATGTCACAAGTTTGAATAAAAATTTTTTCCATAATAACAACTAAGTCTGATGTCTTTTATTATATGAAATAAAAATTTTAATCGTCAAATTTTCCTCCTCTTTATTAATAAATTGAGTTCATCGAGCACAAATAAAATACGCTCACATAAAATCTCGATACCATTGGTTCCAATAGCTATTAGTCATTCGTCACTTGCCTTGAAGCAATGTGTATCTATTTTTGAGATGACGAATTTAGAAATCACAAATTTTTCACTGTTGTCCCAGTCCATATATAGACTTACTTATTATTCAAATGAATTCATAAATTATAGCATCAATTATTCAATAATCCTTTCTTATTCTTATTTGTAATATCCACTATCACACATTCTTCTAAGAATAACAATTCATTATAAAACAACTGCAAAAATTTTATCTGCAATCTTATATTCTTTATTATTATCACGATTTCGATTTATCACAGTATCTTATAATCGTTTACTTGAGAGCGTGAATGTACGAATTGGCAAGTCGCGCGTGTGTTCACCGACTTGAAGAAGAGCAAATTCAAAACTCACGAGTCTAGAGTCCTGCGCTTGCGCGTATTTCCAGCTATTTCACCACGTGAACACGTGGTATATATAATCAATCACTCCCGTATATTTTTTAAACCCCATTAATAACAAAACCAATAAAAAAATCACAGTCTTAAAATCCTCAAAAAAACCTGCATCTTATTTACTATTCCTCAAGAATAAATTTCAATTTCCATTTAACATAAATGTTATAATTAATTATCCATATTGGATTCATTCTCATAAATTGATCGATCAATAATTCTAATCGATCGCTATTTAGTTCATGAAAGTAGAAATTCACAATCTTAAAAATGACGTAATAAAAAATGAAGTTAAATGTAAAACCTTAATTCCTTCGAGGGATTTATTTGAAAAGGGTGGGAGCAATGCACTCGCGTTTGCCGGTAGCTGAAGAAACCACGTGGCGCATCTGTCAAGCACGAGATATCAGATGCTCCTCTAGTTGGAGCAACAGCGGCCGGCGTTCAGGAACTCCGCGTCGCAACTGCCGCTGCGACTAAAAAACGATTCGATGACCTCATCACAGGCTGGTTATGTTCTGTCCAGCCTATCTGTTACTACTACTAACCAATCTGAAAACGTTCCAATATTCCTTTCTTTCAGGGTAATTATTTAAATTCAAAATGATACTTTTAACCCTTTGATATTATTTTTTTTTTGTCTACTAGATACTCTTTACAGTACTCTTCGCTATACAATTTACTACTATCAATGAAATTGAGAAAAATTATTTCTTAGTGAATAATTTATACATTTAGAGTCTAACTTTTTAAATGATAGTTTTTTATAATAAAAAAAAAAGTTAATTTATTTATTGGTCTAGCTATTTTGAACTACTGTTTTAATACCGCATTTAATTCAATTGATCGGTAATTAAAATAAATTGGAAAATTAATTCAAATTGAATTTAGTTGTTTTTATTTAAGAAGTATTTTTTTATGTTGGAATAATTTGTCGATCTTTTTTACATTTTAATAAAAATAATATGTTTAAGAAAGTAAAATTTTTATTTAATTAAATAAAAAATCAAATTGAATGGAAATACTTTTTAACTGAATAATGGAATGTTTTTTATCTAAAAGGTTTTGTATTTAAATTGATCCAAACTAATTTACATATGAGAGTTCAAAGAACTTAAGAAACAAAAATGAAGAAGTAAATTTGGAAAACTTTTAAGAAAAAAAAACTTTTAAGAAAGGTACTTCAAATGAAAATGATGTTTAAAAGTATTTAAGACTTTTACTTTTTCTTCAAGTTTCATTCTCAACTTTCTAATGAATTTTCTTAGTTTACAACTGTTATCGCCCACGTAGTTTGAACCAAATGGCTTGTTTAAAATCAATGAATATATAAGATTAGTGATAGATATGAAGAGAGAAATGAGATATTGGTTCTGTTTAACTAGAGTCTGTGACCTTTAACTTGAGTTTTAGAGGAATATCGTGGGTGTCAGTCTTTTTATTTTGAAATGAACGTAAATATAAGAGTATAAGAAATGTCAAAGTCTCATGTATTTACTTCAAAGGCATAAAAGTAGTCATAAAATTTCATTTTCCATGCATAAAATTTCACGAGAACATTTCTGAACTTTTCTCAAATAAAATTCTGATCAATCTTTTATTGCTGTGAATAAAAGATATATAAAATGCTTAAATTAAAATACTTCCACAAGGATGTTCACTCATGTAAATGAAATGTCAATTTAAATTGCGCGCGCAAATGAGCAAAATGCGCGCGCCATTAGACTTGACAGCTGATGTAATTTCGATGTTTATCAAAGAGTATGTGCACGTGTATTTTATCAAGGCACGCTTTTTGTGGTGTTCAATAGTTGTATAAGAAGTTTTTATTTATAATATTTATTAAAACCTAAAGAAAAATCACTACCTAATTGTTTAAAATAACAATAGATATTTTTTAGTTTGATTCCATAAGTATTTCGTAAGTGTTTAGATGTGAATTACAATTTGAAGGTTATCCCAAGTTTTCCTTTAGTCATTGTAATAATCAATTAATTTCTCAATTATTGGCGCTTTTGTTATAGGTGATGGCGTCAAAGAAGCCTTCAAATGTCAATGCAACTTCTAGTAATTCAAAATTGAATTCAGAACCTAGCACGTCAACTCTACCTGTGACTAAAATAAAAACAGAACATGGATCACCAATTTCTGTTACTCGACTTCCATCATTTCGAGTTCCTCGAGACTTGACATTAGGTAGTAATATCAAGTTAGAAAAAGTCACTAAAAAAATTTATACTCCAAATATTAATGTTCAAAGAAATAAAAAAACAGAGTAAGTCCGATATATTAATCTAGTATATAATGAAAAAATAATTTAAAAAAGTCCTGTGATATAGATTTTTTTTATCAATTATCATGTTTGTTATCAGAGATACTTCAGCACCTAAAAATGATTCCAATGACAACAGAAATAGACCTAGAGCTCGAGGTCGTGGTGGTCCAAATGATCGTGGGAGAGGACGAGGAAAACCGAGTAATTTAATCCAAGTATGTAGTTTAATAAACCAACAAACAAACAATATGATAATTTAAAAATTTCGTTATTGTAAACTAATATTATTGTATTCTAGTCATCTGGAGTGTTTTCGGAAGGCCTCGCTGACTCAATGGGACGTCCTGGTAGAAGCAGTGGTGGATATAGAAGCAGTTCTGATGATAGAGAAGCTAAACCTGTATTAGAAAAGCCTAAACTTAATTTAAACTACACTGTAGATAAAGCTGAGGAAGAAAAAAAACTCAAATTGTTATTACGAGATGACTTTGTCGAACATGAGAGCGAAATCAATACTGATTATAGTCCTATATCATTGCCATTAACAGAAGAAGGTCAGTCCTGATTAAATATTTTTTTACCGTTGTTTACATTGTTTTAATCGATTTGTTATCTATTTTTTTTTTGCATTAACAGGAGAATTACTTAAAAGTGAAATAAAGAATGACGAGAAACTTGAGCCAAGTGATGAAGAAAAAGAAGAAGTCGACCAAAAACCAATAATTCTAGAAAATGGAGAAGTTGCTCCCCCACCGAGATTAAAGAAGATTAAAAAACCTGTTCCTTTGTTAACCCCAAAAGTAGAGAACAAACCTACAACAGTTCCTCAGATTATAGACAATCAATCGAACGGATATTTAATGCTCCGGGTATTTAACGATTCTTTTTTATGATTACTAATTTTTTAATTGTAATCCATTGAAAGTGTACTTACCACTTTATCACCTTTGTTTTTAGTTTCCAGATTGTCTTCCAGGATTTCGTAGTTATGATGAAACGTCTGATCCGCGGTCTAAAGATAAAAATAATGAACAATCAAAGGAACAAAATAAAACTGAGGAAAAGACTGAATATTGTACCTTAAATGATTTGAAAGCAGGATTCTTGGGTAAAATACAAATTCATCGGTCTGGTAAAGCAAAACTCATATTAGGAGAGAACAGTTTAGTGATTGACGTAGGATCTCAATTATGTTTTCGACAGGTAAGGAAATGAATTTAATTCTGTAAAAATAAATATTTATAACAATATTAAAAATTTTTTTGTTTTAGGACGTGGTTGCTGCAAAAATTGATGGTGTAAATAACGAACTAGTTAATTTGGGTCCAATTACTAGCACATTAATTTGTACACCCGACTTTGAGTCTATGCTTGATAAATTATAAATAAAATTTTATAAACAACTATTTGTTTACTTATTAATTAATACTAAAAAAAGACTCTTTTTTTTTTAATCAATATATTTATAGCAAACCAATTATGATGGACAATATCAAGTTGAAAGAAATTAATATTACCTAAATTATTTTTTTCTTCTTTAATATCAGTATCAGAAATTATATCTATAATTTATTTGATGCTTTATAAATATTGTAATTATTACATTTGAATTGTCTAATTAATTTACCGATTATTCAATCGGTAAGCTAAATGAGGTTAGAGTAAAAATAGACATTTACGTCTATCATGAGAACATGTTTATCTCTAAAATGCTCGTTATAAATGAAATATAACTGGTTGTAATCTTATCATTAGACACAAAAATTCACAAAATATGTCCACATTTAAATTATAATCCTTAGTTAAGTGAGACAAACCATGTTCATTGAGTAGTGTATATGTATAAACTTAACGAATTCAGTCACTTCGTTCGATACTGTGCCCTTTTTTCATCGATTTTAATGCCTTTTCACGAAGTTTTTTTTCCAACTCCTCAGTATTTCCTTCACTTGCGTCAGATTCATCAGAATCTGCTACTTTCTTCTTTTTATGTTTTCTATGTTTCTTATGTTTTTTATGCTTCTTATGTTTTTTCTCCTTTTTGCGTTTTTTCTCCTCCACTTCACTTTCCTAAAACAAAAAAATATCGATTAATTTTTTTTTTTTAATACAATAGACATAAAAAAATAAGAAAGAAATGATTATTTCTTTTACAAGGAAATTATAATTAATCAATTACCTCTGATTCACTTGTACTGGTCTTTGCTCGCTTCTTTCTTTTTTTCTTAATCTTTTCTTCATCTGAACTGTCATCAACCTTCCTCTTCTTTTTAATTTCTTTTTCTAGTTCTTCATCGTCAGAACTTGTATCTTTCCTTGACTTCTTTAATTTTGATCGACCTTCATCATCACTATATGATTCTTTTGCCTTCCTACTTCTTGATTTTTCAGTATCTGATGAGCTATCATGACGTTTACGAGATTTCTTCGGTTCTTCATCAGAACTTGAATCCTTTTTAGGTTTTTTAGATCGCGATCGTTCTTCATCTTTACTATATTTCCGAGATTTTGGTTCATCCTCATCCGATGAAGAATCTTTTCTCATTTTTTTAGCTTTTTTCATGTCTTCTTCAATATCCTTCTTTCTCCTACGGAGAAGATCAATTTCACTGATGTCTCGTTTTTTAATATCCTTCCTGTCTTTCATACGTTCTTCAATTAAATCAGCTCGAGACATCTCTTTAATTCGTTTTAGTTGATCTGAGTGCTTTCTATCATCTTCAGAGTCAGAGCTACTTCCTGCTTTATCGGTTTTTTCCTCTTCAGTTGAAGTTTTTCTAACTTTTCTAGACTTTTCAGTTTTTCTTTGCTTCTTTCTTACTTCTTCTTCACTATCTTCTGAGTCTGAAGAGTTATCAACTCGTTCTTTCCTTATTTTTTTCAATATCTCTCCTGGTTTCTTAGCACTTAGAACTTCAACAGGTTTATTTACTATTTTCTTTTCATCAGTTGGCAATTTTATGGATTTCAATGACCTATCGTCTTTTTTCAATTGGAATACTTCAGTTTGAGGTATATTTATAGCTTTCAAGTCATCTTTATTCTCTCTGTAGCATAAAAACAAATATGAATAAGTTGATATAAAATATTTTTTATAATTCATTCAAATAAAAAATTTATAACTTATTTATGACCGAATTTATAAAAAATTGGAAAAATTTACTTACTTGGAAGATATAGCCTTTGATTTAGCTACCGCAGCGATAATATCTTCAGTTTTCTTGAATGGTGATGGGGTACGCGATAAACTCTTCGAAAACTGAAACAAAAAATTCATTATATATGAAATAATCATATAAGTAAGACTTTAATTACATTAAATTTACTTTCCAAAAAACTTACTCGATGTCGTGTGACAGGAAGTAATGTAGATTGTGATTTTTTTGGTGAAACATTAACTTCAATTTTCTTTGCAACTGGTTCTATCTTCTTCATCTCCTTTTCTCGTTTGGCTGCTTCTTCTTTAGCAATACGTTCTTTCTCTCGTCGTTTTAGTTCCTCTGCTTGTTCTCGTTCTCGTTGTTCACGTTCACGTTGTTCTCGTTCCCTCTGCTCTCGTTCACGTCGTTCTTGTGCCAACTTCTGCTCAGCTGCTTTCCTGAAGAAATAATAAATGATTTTTGTTATGTACAAATATATAAATTTTTAAATTATTTATATACATACATATAAAATATAGTTAATCTGTTATTAAAAAAGAAGTTCAATAAATAAATTGAAATTAATTTTTATGGCTTTATGTAAATCTTTAAAGCATGCAATAGATTCTTATCATTAAGATCATAATTCTTCCATTACATATTTACTTGTGAGTAATTGAAAAAATGTGCCTCTCTATAAATGAATGAGAAGATGAAATTAAAGCCACACTCACCTGTTTGATTCTCCTTCATCACTAGAGGAACTACTCTCGCTACTTTCCGAGCTACTTGACTTAGACCTTCCATTGCGAAGTTCTTTTCGCGCATTGATGTCACTAAGTCCTTTGCTTTTTTCATCTGGAAGGGCTTTTTTATCACGTGGCTTATCCTTGGAATCTTTGAAACGGTCGGGCGATTTCTTGTTGTCTTTTGAACGGTCCAATGAAGAAAGTGGCTCCTTAGATCGTGATCTACGATCCCTATCGCGACGGTCTCTCGAACGATCTCGTCTGCTAGATCTGTCGCGAGAAGAAGATCTATCATACCTGTTCATCCGATCGCGACCGTCCGGAGAGCGACGTCGGCTGTTGCGACGATCTGGAGATCTACGACGATCGCGACGCTCTGAAGACCTTCGTCGACGATCAGGAGAACGTCTTCTACGACGATCTCCAGGGCTTGGTGATCTTCTTCGATATCTCAAAGGACTTCTACGCGGTGGACTCCTGTAAAATATTTTTATTCATTGATAAATAATAGTTTAAATGATGGGGGAATATCACGCTAAATATATAAAAGAAATTATTTATACCTTCGCCAACTTTGGCGTGATGAGGGTGGTCTCATGTTACGGCTGCCACTGTAACGGTCCATTCGATCGCGATCCCTATCTCTGTCATGATCTCTCCTCCTATCTCTGTCCCGATCAATCGACGAACGCCTAGCAATTTATTTTCATGAGATTTTACTTTAATTTAATGTTTTGAATTTTATTATTAATAAGTATTAAAAAATTTTTTACCTTCTACCACGATCACGAGATCTATCTCTTGACCTATCTCTATCCTTAGACCGGTCTCGTCCTTTCCTTGGAGAAGTGCTGCGTCTCTTATTACCAGATTTCCTTTCCCGGCTTGAGTCACTATCACTATCACTATCATCTTTATTAGTTTTCCGGTACGATCTTTTAGCCTGCACCCCATCCTTTTTCTTTCGAATTTCAAAATCATTTTTATCTTTTCCTCTTTTATCGTCACCAGAATCAGAGCTACTACTAGAACTTGCATTACGTTTATCCTTTCGCTTATCCGCAGACTTGGATCGTGATTTTGATGATCTCGAATCACTAGATTCTGATCTTGATTTACGATTTTTACTTCGGTCAATACTTTTTGATCTTGATTTTTTGGACCTTGACCGTGATTTCGATCGAGTATTGCGAGATCGAGAGGTAGACCTCCGTGATTTAGAGCGATCTCCAGATCTAGATTTCGATCGTCTTGACTTTGATTTAGAGCGAGATCTTCTGGATCTAGATTTAGACCTTGATCTACGAGATCTTGATACTGGAGATCGAGATCTTCGGTTTTTCGAAACAGGCGATTTAGATTTGGATTTTTTCAGTCGATTAACAGGTGATTTTGATCGTGACTTTTTTTTCTCGTTCTCTGGCGAAGGTGAACGATTCGGCTTTTTCTTTCCATCTGCAATGCTCATTAATTTAGCTTGCAATCGAGAAATCGCAACAGCTGCTTCTCTATCAGAAAAAATAAATAACATTATTTTATAAAATTTCTATATGATAATAGTTCATTTATTTTCAATAAAAACTTACGGTTTAGTTTTTATAGGCATTACAGGGATAGCATTATCTGGTTGAGGGGAATCTTCTTTCTCAACTTTGACTTCATTTCCATCTTTTCCATTATCTTTTGCTGAAGATTTGCTGGGAGATTTCGAATTGGATTTACGTTTTCGACTTGAACGATCACGATCTCGATGTCGATCTCTTGATCGGCTTCTTTTATTCCTGAAAACAGGTATCAAAAAAATAAATATTTGTTCTATTTATTGTAAAAATTTCTTACTAAATAATATCAAATTACCTATCCCTATCTCTATCCCTGCTCCGATCTCTTTTACGCTCTTTAGACCCGCCACGATCTTTTTCCTCTTTTTTCACTTTATCAGCTTCATCTTTCTCTTTTTCTTTTTCCTTTTCAGCTAATGATGCTTGTAGCTTCTCTTGTTCCTCCTAAAAGACATTATTAAGAATAGTAATTATAATTCGAAAAAAGTATCATTCGAAAGTATAAATAAAATCATGCAAACTTTACATTCTAACTTGTATAAGAAATATTAATATTTACTAACCAATCGTTTTTTAATCTGATCTTTTTTTTGTTGCAAGAAAGCTTCAGGAATTCCTGTGACACTTTCTTGAGCCGAAACTAACAGGTCCCACAATTCTCCCATAAAAGAACGAGCATTTTTACCATTGAGAAAACCAGTAAGATTAATCTGCATCTTTCGAGGATCAGGATACTACAGGAAAAAAATATAATTAGAAAGTGGTTCTAAAATAGCAAGGATTTTTAAAATTCTCTAAAACGTGCTACACTGATAATCAGTTTAAAAAATTATGATTGTTTGTGAATAAATTAACATTTAGAAAAATTCCTCAATCAACTGCTTTTCCCCCTCGAAAAAGCAGACTTTTTTTATTTATACTTATACTATCTTACCACCATTAGCAGTTTGAGCTCGAATATCAGCTGAAAGGTAATTTGATTGTGCTATGATAAAAAACTAATGAAAAAGTGCTGAAAAAATCCAAAATGTATAAAGATACCTTACTGTTAGTCAGTCTAAATGATTTACATATTTTTATCTAATGCTGTAATAAAACATGAAGATTACAATAATCAAAATTATCCGAAAGTCGAAGATACGCGTAATCACCAACCTGCCACTTCGACAGAGAGCATCGAATGTTACATGTCTGAGGCTGCTCATAATTACACGGTATTGATTGACGGTACCTCGATATTGGTAGCACGAATTATGCAGGCATGCTCGTAACGGTGACATGAGGTTCAGCTTCAATGATGTATGCTGATGTTCTCCAATGACTCGTACCAAACGCGATGGTGTAAATTTGATGAGGAAACAGCGAACGGCTCTCTTGATTCCTAGCGGCGATAGGAAGACTTGATTATTCACCAGTTGAAGTAACTGCAGCCATCAAAGATGCAGGAACGCCTCTCAGCAAGATGTTGATGATGATCAGCACATCAGAATGATGATGAAACGTCTCCAAAAGAGACATTAATGATTCTCGTGGATCTCCAGATGATAATGGTGATCCTTTGATGAAGATGAGTCAGCAACCAGTGTTGTCCAGTAGATTTACGGGTCCTGCATGTCCTTGGATGATGTAAGATGTCCACGGGTGATGTACTGAGCTGTAGCGGCTAGATGATAGGCTCGCTGACGACACATCGGCTGCCATGGGCGAGTCTAGTGTCCGCGATGTTAGAAAGGTGGCCAAACGGATACCAAGGTAAGTACATCTGAATGCCACTTGGACAAAAGGGTTGAGCCCCACCATTGGTCTCTCTCTCTCTACTTATACTAACGGGGAATTCAAAGATATGTGATAAGACATTGGATAAAGTATAAATAGTTAATCATTGCTATTGACTTATCATTAATGTTTTGTTTAATCGCGGTAGATTTAGACCACGAATACTTGATTTTTTGAAGATATTTGTTAAACAAAAGCACAAATATAATTGCAGACAGTTATGTCGAAAGACATTAAACAGCCTTGACGATTTAGTTATCCTGCATGAAGGATAACCATGCAGTGTTTCTCAACGCCGAGCTGACATTTATATGATAGTTTGTGCTGAAATAACATATCCAAATTTTTCTAAGATGAGGGGAAAAAGCCTAGTGAGAGCATGTTTATTTGGCTTGGTATGATGAATTAATGTTTTTAATTTGACATTATTTCAGGTTAATCAACCGATACATGACAACATCATGAATTACAGGTCTTACCTTCTCTTCCAGCTGGTTATAAACAAACTCTACCACAACATCATCTTCGATACCGAGAATTTGCGTGATTTTGGTTGTTATCCAAGGCTTGATAACGTCTAGCTTAACTTTGCTCATATCAACCTAGAAAATATAATTTATAAAAAAATACATTTTGGTAATTAAAAAAAATTACATTTTCCCAATTAAAATATGACTCAATTATAATGTAATAATTAAATGGAATATTACCTTCTGCGTCAGTGAATCTCCAAACTTCATTTGTTTAAGAAGCTTCTTTTCTTTATCGCTGAACCGCGTGTCCTGCGAAGCCGTTGTGCCCTTTTTTAAAAAAAATCATGGTCTTATTAATATTTTAGAACTATTTTTTATATTCGATTTTTCTAGAAAAAATAATGCTTTCAATATTATACAATGAAATTAAAATTTATTTACCGTGTACATCATTTTTATAGCTTGATTTTATTTCTAAGATCTGCTCCAATCCTCTGAACCAACACTCAACTAGTAGGTTAACGAAATTCGATGTTTTTACATTTGTAAAACACGTCTATAGCTACAAATATTAATTTTATATTAAAATTTCACTTTTTAGTTTATTTATCAGATAAAATAAAACAATTAAGTTAATAATTGTACCTTTACTCAACGAAAATGCTTCCGTGAGTCAATCACCAACATGGCGCCGGTACAATCAGAAGGGTACACACAAATCACTTGAAGTTGGCTTGGGTTCAGTGCTGCCATTGTGCAAAAACTAAACTACTTGAAGTTTTCTCCTATCTTATGTTGGTAAGTTTTTGCTACCGACATTTTTGTTCTTATTACCAACCGTCAGATTACAGAATAATTACCTTACTAACTGAGTCATATGATATTTTTTTGAAGAACAAAAGCGCGTTCGTAACATTCTATTGTATGTGGCGTTTATAATCTTGTTTGATACCTTTTGGATAGAATTATTGAAGTTTTATGACACTTAATAATATAATTAATAAGTAGAGAAAAGTTTGATATTGACGTTAATTAAATAAGAAATATAATCAATATCGAAATGCTCCCGCCGATAACCTGATAATGCGTTTGATCGGATGGTTTCATCAAATTACTCGTCGAAGCATTAGCAGACGGTTGATTTACGACGACGCCGAGGTAGAGCACGAATTACTCGTCTACGACATCAATGAGAACGACTGATTCGTATCTGATTGAGAGTATTCCAGTTAATTGACTCGATCGATTCACATTAATCACAGAACCAGATTGTGATCAAGTGGCGATGGTACACATACGTTATTTGCGACCTGTAGAATATCGGTATAATTGACTTTTTATTGTCTTTGGACTGTTATTTAAACTTCTGAAAAAATTTTGCTTACAATCAATCCAGGTAACTTTGATCCTATAGCTAACAGATTCTGCTTCACAATAAGCAATCAATCATTTTCAGTTTCAAGTGAATTATTTGAATTTCCTTAATATTTTTCAATATTTTATTGTAATTCATCTGTATCTCAGCAAAGTAAATGCATTGTTTGAAACTATTCCAGCCTTCAAGACTATAACCCTCATGATGATTGACGCAGTTAAATAATTCTGACATTTCTTCTTGGTGTAGTATATAACTATAACTATCAATATATCATGAATAGAAATAAGTACATCAGAACTGCTGATATTACTGTAAAAGTTACCTGGATTTATTGCATATTTTTTTTCGTTAAATTTAATGTTTGATGTTGACTCCTAAACTGATAAGTCATTTAGTACAATGAAGAAGTAGAGTATCAAGTGAGTTTGTTTATAATTAATTACTATCAACTTCTAGCGATGTTCTTCATCACAGTCACCAAATTGAAGGGGAAACAAGACATAAGTTCTAGACATTCTTATCCTCGTTATACTGAGAAACAGGCACTAACAAGTTTGGAGTGTCAACGATGACATTGAAGGAAAAGAGAGTAGGAAGTTTAGATACGAATAAGAAGAATAAGCAGAAAGCATAAGTTAAGGCAAAGTAGACACTGAAAGTTGATAGTTGAAGATCAATAGAAATAACTTTGTTAAACCAATTTTGGTTTAATAAATTTCTTTTTTATTTTTCTTAGAGATACTAATATTTTTGATTCCTAAAAATAATATTACCAAAAGCAGTACAAATTTTGTAATGAAATAATTAAAAAATTCGTAAATTTTTTCATTGAATCTCAATTGAATAATATTCATTAAGAATCTTAATGTTATATGGCATTACAGTACTGATAGCCATATAGGTTTGATTATATAAATCAAAAGTATCCTTTTCAGTACTAAATCATTCAGTCATTGTTGCAATGCATGAGTTATTCAGTAAATTTTTCGATTTTCACAGGAGTATGAGTTTAGAACTTTCAACTTCTATAATTGAACTTTTTCTCAATCTTTACTTCTTCAATTATTTCTCAGACTCCTTTTTCTCAAGTTAAAAAGAAAATAAACCAAACTTTGCTCTTAGTAATTATTTATTTTAATTCATCGATATTTCTATTACCATATTATTCTTTTTTTTTTTCTTATCTGAATTTAATGCAATCTAAAGTCTCTTAACTTTGATTAAATTTAGCAATAATTAGAGAAATTAATTTTCTTTATTATTAATTACATTGACTTAAATAATATAACTGTATTGGTAATATTTATGAGGACTTTTTGGGATTCTAATTACCCTATTATTCTTAAAGAAAATTTTAAATACTTAGTAAAGAACTTGTCTTCTGTTAATGTATGTCTGATAATTGAGCTGTAAATTTTCCATATAAATTTAATTACCCGAGCAATTGTTCCAAAGATTAATTGTTCTACAGAGGTAGTCTACTCTTGAAGATCGGTTCAAACCTTGAACCTTTGTAACTTCGACATTGCTACAATTACTATTTTAACAATAACTTTCAAGAGCTTTGAAATATTCAATATTCATTCATCATTTTACTGAAAATTTCTGTTGTATTGATGGAAAAACTATTTTTATGATGATTTCGTATAGAGTCTACAATAAATTTAAGTTTCTTAAAAAAAGAAATTCTTTTTTCGAGGCTAATGTCAAAAATGTCATCAAATCTTGAAACTTCATGTCATCCAAATAGTTATTTTTTTTTTTTTAAGAAGTCAAGTGAAAAAAGCAATATGCATTGAACTGAATAAGACTCGAATATCTAGATCTATTCACCAGTAAGTTTGTTGTCGCGTAAACATTCTTATAAAACATTTGATGTCTGAGATTCTCGAAGCGTACGAAATAGATAAATTCTTTATTTTCCACTTCAGTTATTCTTGACTACTAGTAATATAACATTTTTCTTTCATTAATAAACCAGGTGTCGAGGGAGTAAAGCATCCAGGTTGCTAAGAAATCGTTGGAAGAAAACATTTTCCAGACATCTTCATCTTCGTCATGCTGACACCAAGCACGTGAGTGTTTCTCAGCAAAAGAGAAGAAAGTTACGTCAAGTCACAGTGTAATCGTTTTGAGAGTACCTAGATAAAGTTAAACCTGCTACCATTCAGGATTTCAGTTTTACTCGACGACAATAAAGATATAATTTCCAGTCAATTTGGATTTGCTTTGTACAATCAAAGGTAAGTTACATTGCACATTTTGTGTTTATTTAACAAATAATTTAGTTACTCAATTTCAAGGTGATTGTTTTAAAATTAAATACAATCATCTTCAAAGTATCTTATAAGGTTTGGGAATTTATTAATTCCTTCAGTGATTTTTTAACTTGCTGATGTTTTTTCACATTGTTAGAATATACAAAGTCTGCAAGGAAATACCGGGCAGAAAGAGAACAGAAGAAAAGAAGAATACGCAGTTAATTAGAAATTCCATCCTAAAGGCCACCTGCATAATCCTCATATCCATACAATAATAATCCTGAGGTCGTAATAGAATTCTCTATGTTGGTATAAATGCATTTGTCGTTCCTAAGCCATATCATGTGCACACTTGTGATATTCTTATCTGTGGCATATGCTTTATTCTTTTATATATCCTTTTATTTAGGATTCATACATATTATCGCGAATCTGTTATATAGTTTTTTGAACTTGGTATGAACATTGTCAATTGTTTCACCGTCACTTACTTTAATCGTATTATTCGTAGATTTTCTTAGCTTTTTCATTCTCTCTTCCATTTCACGTTGTTAAACAGATTTTTAATTAAAATTATATTGTTAACAACGTACATTTCGTAACCGAATTAGACCAATTAATTTTAATGAATTAAAAATGTAGATAATTATTACATTTTTTTTTAGAATTTATTAAGTGATTTATATTGTTTTCATTTTTTCTTGTCACATTATATCCAATTAGAATTTTTTTAATAATTTAAATGAAATCAATAAGAATGTTACGGTAAATGTATTTTAATATTCACAAGTCCCTTTTTTATCATGGCTTTCAGAAACTTATTTCAATAATTAATCTACAAGTAAGCCGAATGAAATTGTAGACAAAGAAAATATTATAAAGTCATTATATTTATTTTATGAATTATAATTTACTTTCTGATAACATTCACGAAAAAATAGTCAGGATATAAACTCTCATTCTTCATACTTGATTCATTGGGATTAATTTATAATCAAGATCGAAATTTGAATTCATTACATGAGTATAACTACCACAACCAAATCAAGATCAAGATCAGATGTCAATTACGATTTCTTGATTATTATAATAACCTTGACCTAATTATGATTGGCTTGAATAATTTTATAGCTTGAATAAGATTTTTTTGATACCAAAAAAGACATTTATAAAATTTCAAATCTAAACTAAAGTTTTTCTCTAAAACTAGAAAATAACATGATTCTAGAAAATGTGGATTCTGAAGTTATTGAAAAATTTATGGCTGGCCACTCGAATGTAAGAATAGAGCAATTAATGGACGTACATCGTGAGTCTTTTTATAGCAAAGCGTAGAAGTTACGTTAGACGCTTCTAAAGAGTTTCAATGGAATTCTCGTTTTCGTGGACGTGCTTGGACTGAACGATTGAAAAAAAGGAGTAACTGCCTGCGAATCTATCGAAGATATATATGTATATATTGAACGTTTCCTTTTCTAACTGAAACCTATACCTTCTGGTTTATTTTCATTTTTTTTCTTCGTTTTCTCAATTTATTTCAACTGCGATCACGGAAAGTGCACAATAGCGACGATAGAATAATTTCAGTCGGCATAAAAATTAATCTATACACTTT